ACACCTATAATCCCAGCACTTTGGGAGGCTGAGGCAGGTGGATCCACAAGGTCAGGAGTTCAATACCATCCTGGCCAACATGGTGAAACCCTGTCTCTACTAAAAATACAAAAAATTAGCTGGGCATGGTGGCAGGTGCCTGTAATCCCAGCTATTCAGGAGGCTAAGGCAGAGAATTGCTTCAACCTGGGAAGTGGAGGTTGCAGTGAGACGAGATTGTGCCACTACACTCCAGCCTGGTGACAGAGCAAGGCTCCTTCTCAAAAAGGAAAAAAATCCTATTTTTTTAAACTACAAGTCTGTTGCCTTCTTTTTTTTTTTTTTTTTTTTTTATTTTAAAAATTTCTTTTTTTTTTTTTTTTTTTTTTTATTTTCAAGATCCTAGTTGGCTTTTTTATGGTTCTAGAACCAAGTAACACTTCTCCATAAAATTCAGTAGGTGTTCCACTGAGCTGAGCAGAAGTGGTTGGCTTTATAGACAGAGAAGGGCTGAAGAGAGCAGAAGCAAAGTCCTTTCAAAGTTACTTTTCTTGGCAGTTTGTGACAGGGAGACAGAAAAGAGAAAACTTGTTTTGACTAGTTAACATCAGGCTTCTTCAGGCCACCTTTCCTGTATAAGGATTAAAGCAGAGGGAAATTCATATGATTCCCATTGAAGATTTAAACTGCCCTGTTTAAGAAATTCGTTGTTCACTCTTTCTCTTGAATTATGGGAAGATGAAATGAACTTCCCAGGATTAGGTTTAGTAACATGAGACCTACATAGATGACTCCATTTTGAGTTTTAGTCTGGTCTTTTGGGGTCTAGTGCAGACACCTAGTCCAAAACAGTGACCTCCTATAATTTTTATTTAACTATTCCTCCCTTTCTGTCAGGCTTTCACCCAGGGCCTGACCAAACCTTCGGGCATCAGTACCACTCTCAGTTACCATCATTTTGGATTTCTGGTCCCAGGATATACTTTATAGGTCCTGGTGTCTTCATTATCACATGTTTTTTTTGTTCGTTTTGTTTTTCTTGTTCTAGCTGGAGCAAGATCATTTGGCGTTTGACAAGTTGGTGTATAAAAACATTTAAAACTTTTTGAGGGGATACAGCACACCAGAGAGACTGCTGTTATGACTCTCAGGAGGGTAATACCAAGAGTTTGGGTGATGTATGCTCCTCAGCTAGGGCCCTTGTGAACCAAACCAACTAAAATCAAATAGCCGGACAAGGTGTCTACCTTGTAACCAAGTAGTCTGCTCTGGAGTACCTGATGTATTTATCTGTGTGCAACAAGAAGTATCAGCAACTGCACAGATTATTCTCTGTTGAGTTAGTAGGTAATCTAGCATCCCATGACTGGGTTAAATTAAAGCAGGGAGTGCAAGTTACCTGCAGAGGCCACTGATGGTGAAATTTTAACTATAGTGTTGTCCTGCCAAATGAGAGTTAGGCATAAGCAAGGAAAAATTAAGGAAGGTAAGAGTCTTATTATGAGAGGGAGTCTTGCTCTGATGTGGTTGGCAGTTGTGAAATGTCTCTGGTTATGGCATTGGCCATCCTACTGAAGTCTGTATGTGGCCCATGCATTAGGCATGAGACATGTTCCTTGAAATTTACATAGAGTTGTCCAGCTTCAGCTTATAGAGCTTCAGGAACTGAGCAGTTCTCCTTCATTGGATAGTTGTAGCTGGATATTAGAGAAAGCTAAAAGAATTCAGAATTCAGTGCAATGTACAGGTAGATAATGAAAACTTAATAAACAGGGCTATAGTCTAACAGGCATATTGGAATTTTCTTTTGAAATGTAATTTTCTTCTCTACAGTCACTCCCATTTCTACCAAAGATAATCACAGTGAGACCAGTTTGCCTGACTAACCGCATATTTAAAACCACATATTTAAATTTGCTTTGCTGGAAATTTTGACAAGGAATCTCAAGTTGGAGTTTAAAAAATGTCTCTGCTAGGAAGCCAAACCAAGGCAGACATTAGTTTTTGCCTCCTGCATGCAACATCTGGAGGTTCCTGAGCCTGCCAGGAAGAGACAGATTTACTCACTGTAAGGCAGGGAATGCTTTAAGCCAGGCATTGTTTGCACATTTTGAAATACCTCTAGTGCTTGACTTATGACCACGATTGGTTCCGACAGACTGGTCGTAACACGATTTGGTCGTAAGTTGAGTACACTATATGTACAGTACTGTGAAATGATGCTATAAAAATCTTTAAGTCATATTTTATCATAATTTTCTTTCATAATTGTTATATATAATAATTTTCTTTGTTCATTTTATGCCATTTGTATCACCTTTACACCATTTTGTTTCTTATTTTTACATTCGTCAGGCTTAAGTAAAACACTGCATTACCAGTACAACTGGTTTAATATTTGCAAAACATACAAAATTACAAAATACAGGTGTAAAAAATACCATAGGAAACATTTTCCCAATTGCAAAACGTGTCAAAATATATAAACATGTACGAAACATTTTATTGGCCGTTTTTGAATTTGATCTTCCATCCAAATATATAGCAATTTCTCCATTTCGTGGATGGGCCCGCCTCGTTGCTTTGTTATAACTGTTGATCGCATGGGTGCAGAACCTTTGACAGCTTCGCTAATTCTTTATCTTTCAAAATCATCGACACAGTCGAGTGTGATAACTTCGTATCACGTGCGATCACATTCACTTTCTTTCCTCCTTTGTACTGCTTAATTACCTTCATTTTCGTGTCGAGATCGATGGCCTTTCTTTCCTTCTTGGCAGGCTGAGGCGTAGACAAAGACAATTTCCTCTTGGTAGACATCTTGGGAGGGGTTTGATGAAAAATATCCAAGACACAAAACATAAATTGCTATACCGACTCTGGGATAACATTTGAAGTGGTGCACGCGGAGATGGTAGTGCTGCCGGAAGCTGGTCCGCACCGTCGTATGCCCACCTGGGCACCGTTTGCGCTGCCAGACGCAGAGCAGTTGTGGCTAGCGATTGTGGCCGTAAAGTCAGATGGTCGTAAGTTGCATAGGTCGTAAGTCGATCAATGCCTGTATGGCATTCCAGTCAAAGCCTTGGTAACATAACCAGTTTCTAGTTGTTTCCTGTTACTAAAAGGACAGATACTTGTTGAACTTATGCAAATAATGATATTGCCATAAAAATAAGAATAGTCCTGAATTGTTTGCAAATTCTGGAAGGGTCCTGTTGGGAAGAAAAGAAAATGTTTTATTTTTATTACAAAAGTATACTTAACCAAATTGCTGTAAGTTATAAAAAGTTTAAAATAGTTGCCTTAAATCTGGAAAACAAAACATTAAAAGTACCAGCAGTATTTCAAATAAGCCATAAAAACCTGTTATTCTTCTTTATCAATTCAGTCTCGTGTAATTTTTGCTGTTTGATTTTGGTTAGCAGTTACACAAATCCATTAGTTTCCTCATTAGAATTTTGGATATTTAGTTCAATAATGTGAACTCAAACCTGTATTTGTCAGAGTTCATTTCATTTTTCCCATATACGTCTTTTAAGACACAGCATTTTAGGATTATAATTGCTTGCAAAGAGCTTTCAGAAAAAGTATCAGAACAGAATAACTGTGGACAGCGAGACTTAAAATGGCCGTGGCTAAAAACCTGATGAGAGTTCATTATAATAATGACATAGTTGACAAGGAAATTTAGTTATTTCTGAACCAAAATTATGACTGGTAGCATTTATACCAAGACATACCAGATTTCTAGGAGCTTCATATAAT